CCCCCCCGTGCCCCCCCCGTGCCCCCCCCGCTGACCGTCCACGCTGACCAGGACGCTGCCGGCGCCGCGGCCGTGCCGGTTGGTGGCCGTGCAGGTGTAGAGGCCCCGGTTGGCCGCGGTGGCCCCGGTGACGGTCACCGAGCGGTTGTCGGGGCCCAGGCGCAGGTTGGGGGCGGGGGGCAGTGCCCAGGCGAAGGTGGGCGCCGGGACCCCCTCGGCGCCGCAGTCCAGGCTGAAGGAGCTGCCCCGGGTGACGTTGGCAGAGGGCAGAGCCCGGAGGGTGACGGCGGCGGGACCGTCTGTGCCAAGGGGGAGACACAATCACCACACAATCACCAAAATCAGCCCAAATCAGCTAAAATCGGCTACAATCACAGCCCTCTGGGAATTAAAATGAACAAAAAAGCCCTTTTTTGCCCCCAAAACACCCCAAGGACTCACACTCGACGGCCACGGTGACGTTCCGGGTGGCAGAGCCGTGGGCGTTGGTGGCCCGGCACTGGTAGGTGCCGGCGTGGGCGCGGGTCACGGGGGGGGGCACCCGGGGGGGGTCCAAGGAGGGGTCCTGGGGGTCCCCCTGCTCAGTCCTGGTCACGCTGGGGGGCACTGGGAGGTCCCGGGTGTCCCCCACCCTGTTGGGGGTCACCAAGGGGGGGTCCCAGGTGTCCCCCAGTTTGGTCCGGGTGACACTGGGGGGCACTGGGGGGTCCCGGCTCTCCCCCAGTTTGGTCCAGGTGACGTTGGGGGGCACCCAGGGGGGGTCCCGGGTGCCCCCCAGCTCAGTCCGGGTGACGTTGGGTGTCACCAAGGGGTGGTCCCACGTGTCCCCCACGCCCTCGGCCGTCACCGGGGGGTGGTCCCGGCTGTCCCCCACCTTGGCACAGGTGACCCGGGGCGGGGGGTTCCCGGTGGCGGCACAGCCGAGCTGGGCCGGGGTCCCCTCCAGCCAGAGCCGCCGCTCCGGACAGCCCGGCTCGGGGATGCTCGGCTCGTCTGCAAGCAGGAGGGACATGGGGGGGGGACACTGGGTGATGGGTGCCCACCCAGCACCCCCTGACCCCACTGGCACCCCTCGATCCCTCCTGGCACCCCCTGTTCCTTCTCAGCACCTCTTGATCCCATCCAGCAACCCCTGATCCCTCCCGGCACCCCCTGATCCCACCCGGCGCCTCCTGATCCCTCCTGGCATTCCCTGATCCCACCCGGCGCCTCCTGATCCCTCCTGGCACTCCCTGATCCCACCCGGCGCCTCCTGATCCCTCCCGGCACTCCCTGATCCCACCCGGCGCCTCCTGATCCCTCCCGGCACCCCCCAATCCCTCACGACACCTCTTGATCTCTCCCAGCACCC